GAGAGAAGCTTGGGGTCAGAGTGCAGGGTCAGCCATTTATATGGTGCCCCTGGAGCACTTGGGGTTAAGGGCTTTGCTCAGGGGCCCAACGGAGTAGGATTCCTCTGCCGGCTGTGGGATACGAACCAGCAACCTTCCAGCCACAGGTGCAGATCCTGAGCCACAGAGCCAACACACCACCCATTACTCAGTATACTCACTTTTCTATTGGATTAGAACAAATTGGTAGAATTACAGGCATGTGCTTAGCAAAAATATACAGTATTCATCTCATTGTTTTCATTTATGGGACACATACGTTATTTAGCACCAGTAATGTATAGTAATGGTTGTAGGTAGCAGAAAGTAGCTGAGGTATGTTTAGTTTCAGAGAAGAGTTGTGTGTGGTGGTGAGGTTTTTTTGAATAGCTGCCTTCACTCAGCAATTTTGAGACTCAGGATCAGAATTGATCAAAGATAAAGAAGCTTTCAGTCCTTTTGTGCTATTAAACCTTAAGCTTTTTACAGGGCTAAGAACTGAGAGACAAAATACTGACCCTCACAAGGTTCAAAAATAAAATCTCCTTGGTCTATTCACAACTTACTCTGTTTTCAAAGATTCACTTGGTTTTATTTGTAGACATTTCATTATGAAGTGGTTTCGTATATTTTTCTGGACCTTTTTGTTAAAACTATAAACCTTTGCATTGCAGCCTCTGGGTGCCAGTGACTATTTGGAGATGTGCAGGCACTTTGACACAGTGTTTATCCGAAACATACCCCTCTTGACTCTGGCCAAGAAGACACAAGCCAGGCGCTTCATCACCCTCATCGATGCCTTCTACGAGCACAAAGTAAAGGGCTTTATTTCACCATAATGTCTTTTCTTCTTAATGGAGTCTATAACAACAGTTGGAAAGGTGTGACAGCAGCCAACATGTCCTTCAGCTCTGCTACTCTGACTCCTCATTCTTCATGATGTCAATTCCTAGAAAAATGATAAATAATATGGTCAAATTCTCTCTCTTCTGCATCCCTGGTTAACTCCTTACTTTGCTTTGGGGTCCTAACTTCCTACTCCTTCAGCCAAGTGGTTGACCCTCAGCTAAGCAGGTTCATAAAGTGTCTTTATGCCTCCTCAATAAATATTCCTACAATGAAATGGTTTAAGTTGCTGCTTATAGTTTAAAGCTAAATTATTAGTTACTTGTATCAATTTTTTACAGAAAACTAACAAACATTGGTTTTCTGTATTTCTTTGTACAATGTTTCTCTGTTACAATATGTTTTACGTGTTGGGTTTGTCAGTCGTACAAGGACTTCAGCAATACATTAGTAATCCTCTCTCCTGGCTTTGCATTTAAAAAGGTTTGTATTGTTTCTCGGTATCGACCTTTCTTTCTGTCAGATATGTATTCTGTTTGCTCTTATTCCATGTAGTCTTTTCTAGAAACTCACTTCTTACCCTGGTTTCTGTGGTGTTGCCTTTTCACCCCATTGCAACAATTTGGAGTCATGTGTGTCCCGGGTCCTGAAGCTCAGCTTCATGAAGAACTGGTGGAAAGGAGAGAGGGAAATGTAGTGACTTCAGCATCATGTAAATCCCACTGGAATCAGAAGCAGTTGCGAAGCTCAGCAGTGTCCTTGCCTTTTCCAGGTGCGGGTTGTGTGTCTAGCCAACGCGCCGCTGGAGAGCATTTTTCTTCATGACCACCAAGGCAGTGACGACGAGGCCCACAGGATACTCATGGATGACCTTGGGCTCAGCAGGGTAAACAGGGACTCTTCTTCAGTTTACTGATCACCAATGTTCATCAGCACATTTTAACCACAAACAAAAGGGACCCATGTCCACTTAATGCCCCAAGTCATGCAGAGAACATTTGCTGCCATTATGCCTAGGGCTGCATAGGAAATATCCTTTAGTGTTTCGTTTCAGGCTCTGTTGTACCCAATGGTTCATGCATTTCTAGTTTGCAGCTAGAAGCATTAATAATCAAATTGATAATTGAATTGTAGGATCCTAAGGTAATAGTCCTTTTTCCTGTGAGATGAACAATGACAAATTCTGTGCATGAGATGTTCTGTTGGAAAATAGATCAATACTCCAGATATCACAAGTTCAAGCCTTGGTCTTGCTGACTGCAACCCTGATTCCCCAAGTGGCAGAGCACATAATTAGCACGATTCTGCCAGAGTTGGCTAGTGTTTTATCGGCACCCGGCACAACAGCCCACTTGTGACTAACCTAGGCCTGTGGACTTCTAGTGACGTCAGTGAGGCACAGGGCGCTCCTTTCCTGTCAGGTGCTGCAGACCTTGCGGTGTGTAAAAAGAAATAGATCAATGGTTTAGAGGGGTGAGTGCATTGAAACCTACTTGCCCTTCCTCAGTCTGGCTGAGTGGGTACAGGAGCCACTGATCCTATCTGCTGCTCCTGGTGGGCGGCAGTCCATCACATTTTTGATCATCCTTTCATCCAATGTCAAAAGACATGGAAGCAGTGGTAATAAATCGCGTGAGTTTAAGTGAACAACTGATTCAGAGTCATTAAGACATCAGGGTGGAATGAAAAGCAGAAGAAACCGTGATCTTCCAGGCCAAGAAGTGAATGTCAGTACAGTAAAGAATCAGCTGGTGATTTGGATGGGACCACTTGGGTAACCACTTGGGTGGTTAACTTACAGTGGTTAACTGCTGATTCCAAAATAAAAAATAGCTACAGTAAATACATTTGATTTTCTTAATTTGTACATGGGCTCATGTTCTATGAATTTTAATGGTAATAAGGGCACGGTATTACACAAGGGTAGCATGAATCTATAAAGTAAATATATGGGTGGTGCTGAATGTGAATGTGCTACATACTGTATAGAAAGGACTTACAGTAGGTGGCTCTGTTTACTTCTTTGTTTTCATCCAGATAATCTGGGGAAGCAATAAGGAAATTTTAAAATGCAGAGTAAAAAAAGTATATGAGACATATCTGGATAGTCTTACCCAGAATTCTATCTACAGTTCTTGGTCAGCAGTTTACATCGACGATGCACAAATAGCTACACTGAAGAGAGCACGTAGAATAATACTCTATCTGAAAGGTATCTCACATAGTTTACAGGAACTGAATGTCTTAAGTCATGAGGAATTGTCATTTTAACTGTTTACCACAGAGATTCTTGGATCAAAAACACCTCACAGCCAAACAAGCAAAATAAGATAAATTAGTGGTAGTTTCCTATCTTGTAACTTGGCCTACATTTTGGACTGTAAGCTTTATTTGTACTTCTGGAAGTATTTAATGCATTCAGCATTTTTTCTTTACATTTAGTAACAAATTACCAGCATGAATGCATTCAGTGTTTTCAACGTTTATTTTATAATGCCATACCTAACTTTGAAAGTCAATTAGCATTTCTTTCATCTTCACAACATCCAGTTTTGCACATTTTTTTAACTATTATTTTATCATTATAAAAGGTTTTTACGATATTGTAGTTAATATTATTATACACTGATTATATCTCCATAAACCTGAAAAAAGAATTATCGACACATATCGTTCAACAGCTGGTGAAAATACATGTTCAAGCATATACACATAAATCACTCGAGATATGGAAACACAAAGGAAGAGAACCAGATCAAGGGGAGTTTAAAGGGAAGTACTGCTATTTATCTCAAATGTTTGTTTATCATGAATTATCTCAGCACTCCCAAAGAGATTTTGGGGTCTTGTCTGCACACTTGAAATGTCCTTCCCCAACAGCCATGTGAGCAATTTTCCTCTCACTGCCCTTTTCTCTGGCCATCAGAAGTGCTTGCCTATCTGTGAGTCTGAAGCCTTTCCTTTTCTCTTTGTGACTTTTGTCATGCTTTAAAGAGGATGGCGAAGAAACATTGACAACCTGAAAAGAACAATTTGCTTTGAACATGCCAGCTGATGCCTACTGTATGCAAGTATAACAACAGTTCAACATAAAGATATTCTTTGCACAGTTCCATCCTATATATCGGGGCGAATACAGCACTTGTTTCGGAGGCGTATGCAATGACTTAGTTAGAAAAATGTAAAAACTCCTGACAGCTGCATTCTTCTTTCAATACATATATCTATTTACTTCTTCACCTCCAGATACATTTATTCAGTTACTGTGCTTCCATGTACGTTTGCATGGCTATTGAAGTACTCTGTACTGATGATTCCATTTTGCCATTCTGTTTTATACCTGTATGAGTGTATGGCCATTCACTTTAACTCTTCCTCCTTTACATTCCAGGCTTATAATAATTACTGTAATATTATCTAAACCGAAAAGCTTTTCACATCGCAGGTAATTAGTGTGACACATCTCTTAATTAACTAATGTTCACTTTAAAAGCAAACTAGACATGATCGATGACATGCAAGGGTGAAGTCAATTTTAAAAAACATCTGCACATGAATGAATAATTATAGGTATGGGTATATAGGTGTGCAGTATTTGTTATATTGAAATGTACACATAGCAAGTTCATGGCTGTTTGTACCCCTTAGTTTTGATAGATACTTTGATAGTGCGCTCGATGTTGATAAAAGGTATCAAACAGTATCTATAAAATCAGGCACTCAGCTTACACAGACAAGAATAAAGACCAGAGAACAGGACAATGATTAGTATTCAGGATAGATTTTAGACTGTCCTTGTAAGTGAATGTCCCGTCCCTCTAAGATGATCCTCCCAGAGTCAGTCTGTGATTTGAGGCCTGTACTAAACTCTTCCAGCAACATGATCACAACAGCTACAATCCCCAAGCTAGTATGACCTCTTTCTTTTTCGGTTTTGTGTTTCAAGGCTACACAAAACGTAAGTCAAACGGTGAATATACCATAAAATAGACAAAATGTACCATATACCTTACATTCTTGAACATGAAGGGCAAATGAAATGAAACTAGATTTGAATTAAACAGAAATATTTAGATTCCTGTGTCCTTATAGATCTGACTTCAGTAGTCCCGGTTAGTTTGCCAACAGCTGCAGTTATTTAGAGATGTCAGCGGCAGGACAGTGTCCTGTATCTCTCTTTGTCTGTGTCTCGGCACCAGTGGAGAATAACCCAGTAGGCTGGAGAGCTGCTGGGTGCAGAGGAGCGAGGCTCAGGGAGAACAGGAAGTGGCAGAGCCCATGGTTGCCACAAGTTTTCCGAGGAGGAGGAAAAAGCCCTTGTCTGGGGTGGTAGCATCTCAGTTTCTTGTTTGTTATTTCTTTCTCCAAGACGTGTGAAAATATTGGAACAAAAATAGGATGGGAGACAGTGTTTTTTCCCTTCGAGGTTATTTCCTCATGAAAAAAATGTTTCTTACTTAGGTTTTGTTTTCCTTTCCACTGCTGGTGTTAGCACCTCCTTGTAACCAGTGCTCTCAGGTACCCAGCGGTTACTGGAGGGGTGCCCTGGAGAAGACCTACAGTACTGTGGCTTCAAACAAGGATTTCCCACTAGACTTACCTGTCAGCACTTCAAATTCCTGCTTAGCTCTTGAAATAAGAAATAAATATACCCTAAATACCCAATAACATTTTTACATATGAATAGAACCAGCTATACTCTTCATAAGTTACTGATCCTCTTACCCATTTAGTTCTTTCTTGCCTAAATCCTGAACAATTTCAAGCATTTCAACTTCTGAATGTTAAGAGCCATCTCCACACTTTTTAAACAACAGATTTGATGATGATCGTCACTGTCCTAAAAGGATCCTTTTTTGTGTTATCTAGGATTCGGCACATGAACTGTCTATTTTCAGCGGTGAGGAGGAGATCTTTGCATTCCAGAGAACGGTGTCCCGTCTGACTGAGATGCAGACAGAGCAGTACTGGATTGAAGGTGACAGGAGCAAACAAGAGTCTCCCTGTGAGGGCTCTTAGCTGATCAGCTCCCAGCACGCACTGGGAAAGCACATATGTTTTTAAATACAGCCAAGGAAGGAAGCAGTGCAATTTATTTATTATCATATTGAAAACTTAATAATGTCCTACCTTAAAGTTACAATTACCAGTGTCCAAAATGTATCTTCCAGATGTACAGTGAATAATGTTTTATGTTCTAAAAATATTCTGAATATTCTAATAATGAAATTGTTCAGACATCAGGCACAGATATTCCTTGATGACATTTTAGATGAGGGAAAGGTGTGGTATTTAAACATGGAATTTATAAGAATTTCCCATTGTTCGTTTGTCACAAATGAAAAACTGCCTTAAATCTGTAAGACTTGTCACTGACTGCAAGTAAATTATCTTTGAAATCATAACTTCTGTGTTTGTGAGCATTTTTCCATTTGATAAATAGTGTCAGTACTTCAAATCAAATTGAACCTAAAAGTTAATTTTTTGTCTAATTTTCCTTTTACATATAAAATCCTTTATACAGATAGATCTTAAACATCTTTGTTTTGATCCGGAGATATCAGATGGTGAGCCATTAAAACTGTGTCAAAGGTTTACATTTGCGGGATTTCCTTAACTTTATAGTATCTATTAAATGAGTCTGTTGTTCAACTAACAGGTTTTCATGATTAGTAGTTAAATATTTATTTTCAATATGGTTGTGGTAGATTATTCCAACATCAGGCTGGTTGAAGATATCGAGAAGTTTGGGCTGGTTCAGAAACAAACTACTGCCATCTACTGGAATAGCTGAGGTTTATGCACACAGCTGTTGCCTGTTAAAAGGGGCAGTTTTCAAACCAGAACTGTAATACAAAGGACAGCCTGAACAGGTGATTTTTCTGTGCTTTTGCTGATGAATTGTCCAAACTGTTGCTTTACGTATTCTCCACAAGTAATAGCCACGCATTTTAGCATGTCAAGGTTTTGTTGTTCCAGCAGAAAGGGTTCTGCTTTTTAAAGTGAGCTGTGCAGTTGTTAGGTTTCTGGACTTGTGGGTTTTAATCCAAGCTGAGACACGGCTGTTGTATCCCTGAGCTGTATAAGTGGGTGCAGATGTAAGTCACTTACCAGCCAACAAATTAATGTTAGTACCTGGCTGATGTGTCTGGAACATCATCACAGGAATATGAAAACCTAAATACTCATCCTCTGCTTGCCTGGGTGGAAAACAAAGGGAAAAATGGAAACATATTCTAATACTTTTTCTGTATTGTACATGATGGTTACCAAGATAATTGTATTTGCCAAAATCTAAAACATTTACTTGTAAAATATTCACTAATAGAAATAATAGTATTATTGTGTGACTAATTCTTGAGTTTATTCAATATCTGAAATGTTATTTGCGTAGTGTTATTATAAATAGATTATTCTGACAATAACCAGCCTTGATTCTAATATAGAGCCTTATCCAGCCCTGACAATAAATTAAAGGTTTGGTCTAACAAAGATGGGGAGGTAATGCTACCATTTCATGTTACACTGAGAACAGTGAGAATTGGAAATGCGTATTGAATTAGGCTGGGTTGAATTTAGATTATAACTTCATTGTGAGTTTATATTTAGCAGAGTTTCTGTCAGGATTGTTTATGGGCTGAATTCAGAGGTAATGCTGTTAGTTAGTGTTTGAGCACACCTGAATGAGGGATGTTCTGAAACTCAGATAGGGGCGCAGGGTACATGTCAGTTACAAATCCCTTTTGACCCAAGAGAGCAAATTTACAAATGCAGCCAAAAAAAATTAAATCAATTCCCTGTGATAAATAATTGGGCGGGGGCAAAAAAGAGAAGAGAGTGTTCCTTCAGGACCAATGAAGGGAAGCGCTGTTACACACTGACAGACTGAAGGAACTGAAATATTTTTGCTTTGAGAAGAAAAGAAAATGAGGGGACCTGGTACAAGCACTCCGAATCCTAACAGGCACTGGCAAAGTCAGCCCAGTGCATTTAGTCAGAATGAACACTGAAACGTACCAGAGGACAGGAGAAAACTAATGGATGGTGAAGTGTATTCATTTAAAACCAAGATCAACAGGCACTTCTGTACACAAAGGGTTGTGGGAGTATGGAACACGTTGTCCAGTAATGTTGTGAAATACAGATACTTTAACTTCTTTCAAGAAACAACTAGATGCAAACCTTGGATCATTTAGCTATAGAAACCAAACAGGCCTGTCTGTAGACTACCTTAAGAAGCCTCCCGAAGACTCAGCTATTCAAACTATTTTTTTAGATCCTGTATGGATGTGACTTTTGTAACTTGTGTTGTTGCTTTTTCTTCAAATATGGCATTGGCATAATTTCTGTACCTTGTTTTGTTTTTGAATGATTTCTGTTCATATGCCCTTTATTTTATTTGTGCTGTGTTTTTTTATTGCTTGACAATTTGTCTTGTTGGTAAGCTGCCTTAGATGAAGGCATTGCTGAAATAATAAGACAAATAGTGACTTAAGGACAGGGGTTGATCAGATGTTCAAGGTTTAGGTTTTGAACTGAAAGTGATAAACTAGCATTATGAAAGTGTTGAGGTTAAGGTGTCTTTGGTGTTAATGTTCAGAAGGTCAGAATGAAGGTTGAGCTAAGGCAATGGACCAATACCCACTGTACAGCTTATCAGACTCTTAACTGAGCTCTAAACCTTTACCAACCCTTCCCCTGTTCCATTGTTTGACCTATCAGCCAGACAGTCAGCCAGAACCCTCGTCTCTGCTTCTACCTAAATTTCACATAAAAGCAGACCTACAACTAAAACTAAAACAAAACTGTAATTCTCAGGAAGTCTAAGTCTGGTTTTATGTAAACCTGAGATATCAGTGAGAAAAGCAGTATTTCCATCCTGTACCCTCATCTTGGCAGAAGTTCAGCAAGGCTGGGCTTAGTATTGGGCCAAGTGACCTCTAGGAAAAGCCAGGTTGTTGCTGCAAGAGGTGTGGTGAGACCAGTAGATGGCATTCTTTCCTCTTGACCAGTGTCACTGCATGGTTACCTGGCACAACACAAAATACAGTAAGATTTACAAACAGAGCTATGAAACACTAAAAACACAAGGACTGAATAATGTAATTTTGGTCAGCTTTAATATTTAATAATATATTTGACAACAATAATGAGCAAATGTTTGGGAATAAGTAAAAATATGATGAATATTATAGCCAGCAGCCATATCACCCTGCAACTCACAACTGGCAGCCCAATGAAGCTCAGCAGGTGTGAGTCTGGTCAGTACCTGGATTGGAGACCCCCTGGGAAAAACTAAGGTTGCTGCTGGAAGAGGTGTTAGTGGGGCCAACAGGGGGCACTCACCCTGCGGCCTATGTGGGCCTTAATTCCCCAGTATAGTAACGGGGACACTGAGGTCCTGACTTTCTGTAGTATTCTTGAAAAGAGTAGGGATGTTACTCCTACTAATAATTCCCATCTATGAATACTAACACTAATTATTACCCTCCATCTATGAATTGGCTTACATTTATATAGAGCTTTTTCTGGACACTCAAAGCGCTTAACAGGTAATACAGTAGGGACTCCTCTCCACCACCACAAAAGTGCAGCGTCCACCTGGATTATAAGTAGAGCTGATGACTCTTGTAGCAGTACAGTGAGACCAAATCCAATGCAAGGCCTAAGCAGGGTAAGAGCACTGTAAAGGCCAGAGACTCTGTCGAGGCAAATGGTATTGTAGACGTCACCCAAGCTAACCTCACAGGTTGTCAAGGTAACACTTCTGAATCAAATCAACATGGTGACTTTGCAAGAAAAGCAAAACAATGCACATCTGCAGAGTCTCTTCAAAATATTAGATGAACAGTCCTACTGATTAAGAACATCTGCTGCATGTTCTTACTAGCACACTTACTCTATGCCTTCTACTGAGGTTGTTGTCCCCAAGCAATGCTCATGCAATCTAGGGCGCTCGTAGATTTTTGTGCTCTGTCCCTTAACCTCAGCACTGAACAATAAAAACATAGTTAAATTCCTAGCCCATATCACATAAAAAACAGTGGTAAAAGAAACGATTGGTTTGTGTGTATTAGAAGAGAGATCAGCGACAAATATGTATGTGTAGAGCTGATCTTCACATTTTTCCACAAGTGAGATGTCACTGTTTATCACTTGTTTTGTAAATTGATATAATACTGCAAAATAATTATTGGGACGGGATGTGTATAATTGATGCTGTCCATACACTGGAACTTACAGTAAAGTCAGCTTGGCACTATGCGACTAGTCTTGAAAAACTAGCTGGAAAGAACACATCTAACAGATGCCAGTATCAGACAATGCTGTCAGTGAGCAGCCAGTACATTGGCTAACAACAAGGCCACTGTACAGATTTTGATGCTTAGATGCATTTGAAGATTTCAGTTCATAATGTATTCAAGAGATGATAATTTAACCGTTAGTGTCTTTAAAGCCAAGTTAAAAATATGATCAATTCAGTTGTTCCTGTCTCCGTATCCAGAAATGGCTAAAGTCATGGTAATATCAGTGAGGAATACCTCTGCTATGCTGTGCCCATCAGTAGGTTTGCGAGTTCTGGAAAAGTCGCCTGAAAAACCACAAGGTGGCAGTAGAGTTCACCTGGGCGACGCTGAGCGTCAAGGTTTTCAGATGATCACCATTCAGAAGCACATGGGTGTTGTGTGTAAACAACAGATCAGCTGTTTCAAATCAATTTCCTTCCCGCCAATAAAAACTGAGCTGGAGCAAGCAACCTTGTGTGGGTGGGGCTTCTTCAGGGGGTGTGTGTGGGGTGAGCATGCGATTGGAGAACGGCTGGGAAAAGATTATCAAATTCTGCTTCAATCGGAGAAGTGGACATGCATGTAGACAAGAGCCCCCTTTGTTCCCCCCAGTTTACCAATGGACCTTTGACCTTCACTTTCCAGCTCCTGTAGACAGCACACATACCCGGAGAAACTACTACGGACTGGGGAATATCTTCAGTTCTAATACTGTAGATACTGTATGCTGCATGTGTTGCAAAATCAATGCAAATCCTTGCTTTGGGTTTACATAAAAAACAAATTCACCGGGGAGAGTCGGGAATTTTAATTTTTAGATATCTTGACACGTTTTAAAAGAGTAACAAACTAGTGTGCCTCTCGGACAATATTGTATCGAATTTGTGAATACGTGAAGGACACTTTTCCGAAAAGATGAGAGTTGTGGTGCTTTCTGTTATCATTTTATTGATCTGCAGAGGTTCAGTCCACCCTGAAAACCTTTTCACAGCTAAGCAAAGAACGTTCCTGCTCTCTCTTTTTCAACCTGTAGTTAACCTCTGCTTTTATTCTGTCTACAATATTCTTGTGTACATTCTGTTTTGTACACATGAAAGAGCAGCGAAGATGACACTCTC